GGCATAAAAAAACATCTCACACCATATACCAAGATAGGGTCAAAATAGATAAGTGATTTAGACATGAAGGGTGATATAAGCAAATTTGGGGAACATGGAAAAATGTACCTGTCAGATCTATGGATAAGGGAACAGTTTATGACCAACCAATAGATAGAGAGGATCACAGAAAGTAATTCCATGCAACATTTCTATTATGGAAATATGGTTTGCGTGACTTAACATGTAAAATCAGTATCAAATTGCTTGCTTTCTCAAAGAGGGGGAAGGATTAGGAGGGAAAGAGAATTTGATCTCAAAATTTTTTAAATGATTATTAAAATTTTTTTACACGTAATTGGGAAACATTTAATGAAATTAATAAAGATATATTTAAAAATAAAAATGAAACTGAATTAGAAAAAAGGAATAATTCATTCTAATCATATGGGATTTATACTAGGTATGCAAAGATGGATCAACATTGGGAAAACAATGTAATTAATCATACTAAAACTCCCAATATCCCAAACCATACAATCATTTTTGACAAAGTACAGTACTCATGCTAAAACCTTACAAAAGATTGGCCTAGAGTGATCTATTTTTAGTATCATAAAAACATTTATCTAACACCAAAAGTAGCCATTATATGCAATGGGGATACACTAAAACCTTTCCCAATAAATATAGGAGTGAAGCAAGGATGTCTATGCCCTTCACTATTCATTTTGAAAATGCTTACAATAACAATAAGATCAGAGAAAAGAATTAAATCAGTAAAGATAGGCAAAGAGGAGATAAAACAATTCCTGTTTGCTGATGGTTTACTTGGAAAACCTTAGGGCAATTATCAATCATACCAATTGAGACAATAGTGTTAGCAAAGTTGCATGCCACAAAATAAAACCTCAAAAATCAATAGCATTTCTATTCATCACTTAGCACAGTGTCTGACAGAATACAAACAATAAGTGTTTATTGATTGATTGATTATATAATAATAGCAAAAGACAAGAAGCAATAAATAGGAAGGGAAATCCCATTCCAAATAATTATATAATGCATAAAGTATCATGATCAACTTCTCAAAGCATACAAAAGTCTTATATAGATTCAGTTATAAAGAAATAACCTAAATAACTGGAGGAATATTTAGTGCTCATGGTCAGGTCTTGTTAATATAATAAAAATGACAATACTATCAACATTAATTTACATTTTTAATGCTATGCCAATCAAATTACTAAGAGTTTATTTTATAGAGCTTGAAAAAATTAGAATAAAATTCACTTGGAAAAACAAAAAATCTAGAATATCAAGGGAAAAGATGAATAGAAGTAAGGATAAAGGGGAAATAGCATCTTCAGACCTCAAACTACATTATAAAGCAGCAGTGATCTGATCCTTCTTGTCTTGATTTAAAAATAGAGAGATAAATCAACGAAGCAGACTAGACAAAGGAGATTCAGAAATAACAAAACTCAATAATCCATTGTTTAATAAAATGGAAAATGTAAGTTACTTATAGGAAAACTCCCTATTTAATAAAAACTGCTAGGAAAACTTGGAAAGTAGTCTGGCAGAAATTAGGCTTAGACCAATACTTTACACTGCAATATGTTCTGAAAGGATATGTGACCTTATTAAGTATCGTACTATAAAGGGTCAGCTAGGTTGCACAGTGGATACAGTATGGTGCCGGAAGTCAGGAATACCCATCTTCTTGTATTCAGATCTGGCCTCAGACACTTACTAGCTGTGTGACCCTCGGCAAGTCACTGAATCCTGTTTGCCTCAGTTCCTCATCTGTAAAATGAACTGGAGAAGTAAATGGCAAAACCACTCCAGTATCTCTATCAAGAAAATGCCAAATGAGATCATAAAAAATCATACACTACTGAACAACTAAACAACAACGACAGCAGCAAATCATATTATAAAAAATTTAGAAGAGAAATAGATTTCACAGCTATGGGTAAGAAATGTATTCTTAACCAACCAAGACATTGAGGCAATTAGAAAAAATGTGATAAAAGACTTTGATTACTTGGAACTGAATAATTTCTGCAGAGACAACATTAATGCATCTAGCAAAAGAAGGTAAGTGGTCGAATGGGGAAAAAAAATCTTTGTATTAAATTTCTTGGGAAAGAGTTTGGTATCCAAGATAAATAAATGTATACACACATATAGACACATATTACATATATAATCATATAAAATATGTGTGTACATATATATGTACACATATATATGTATATAATAGCCATTCCCCAATAGATAAATGTCAAAGGATATGAGGAAAAAGTTCTCAGAACTGCAGATCATTCACAACCACATGAAGAATGCCCCAAGTCACTAATAATAAGAGGAATGCAAATCAAAACAACTCAGAGATTTTACCTCACACCCTGTGAGTTGACAAAAATGGCACCAGTCCATGTTAAAGGAGTTGTGCAAAGAAAGTTCACACTAAAACATTGCTGGTTTATCTGTGAAATGGAACAACTCTTTTGGAAAGTAATTTATCATTATGCCAATAAAGTGACCAAAATGTCCATACATTTTGAACCAGAGACTCTTTACTGTGTTTATACACCAAGTAAGCCATCAATAAGAACAATTCCCCATATACTCCAAGATATTTATAATAGCACTTTTTTATGATAGCTGAGAATTGGAAACAAAGTAGATGCCTATCAATTGGGGCATTGCTAAACAAATTGTGGTACATAAATGTAATGGAATACTATTTGCACTATAAGAAATGACATGTGATGAATGCAGAGAATCATGGAAAGAGCTATATGAACTAATGCAGAGTGAAGAAAACGAACCAAGAATACAATATACACAATAACCACAACAATGTAAATTGAAAGAATGACACACCAAAAAAAAAATCAAATGAAAATGTAACAAAATTATAAGTCAAATGGGACTCAAATGAAGAGCTATGAGAAGACATCCGCAACCTACCCTTCAGTGGAACTGGAAGGTCCACAGTTGTTACACTTTGCATGTTTTCAGACTTTCTGAATGTATCAATCAGTTATGCTGATTTTTTTCTCTCAAAAAAAGAAAAGAACACTTTGTAATAAATGGCTCTCAGGGAAGGGGAGGAGGGATACATGAGCTACTATGGAGAAGTAAGAAACAGAATACATCAATTTAAAAAAAAGAAAAGAACCGAGCTAACCATGTTAATTCCTTTACTTGGTCAACTCCAAAATTTTCTTTTATGCTCTAAAATAAAATCTAAACTATCCTGTTTAGATTTTAAATCTCTATACAACCTGTTCCCAATCCACCTCTTCAGCCTCATTGGACATTAGTCCGCTCTCTTTATTCCAACCCAACTGGCTTTCTCTCTATTCCTCACTCATGCCACTACATCTCCAGTTTCTGTGCCTCATTGGTCACCCCACCTTCATTCTTGTAATGCACTCCTACCTCATAGAAACCCTCTTCTCCTTTAATATGTAGCTTGAGTACATTTCTGATTCCCCCAGCTGTTAGTCCCCTTCCTCCAAAATGAATATGTGTGTGTAGTGTATGTATTCACTTTATATTTATGATTTATATATGTATTTGTATGTGCTTGTTATCTCATTTGAATATAAGCTAACCTTTTAAGTAGAGATTGCTTTATTCTTTGTACCTAGCATATTCCTTGACCATATCAGAGACTTAATAAATATTTGTTGATTAATGTGGAGGTAACCTTAGGTTCCTGATGTTAATTTCTTCCATGTTAGAAAGGGTTCACAATGGACTTGGGAATGAACTACCTCTCATCTAAGGATCAGCTTATCTAAATTGAAAGAGTCTCATCACTATTGTGTCAAGAGGATAATATATTATTATAAATACATTTGTTATTATCAGTTATTATTAATAATTTGATAAACAAACCATCTTCTATGACAGATTCTGTGATCTGTATTTGTGATATACCTACAAAATCCTAGATCTTTGAAGTTTTAAAGTGTAATTTTTTTTATAAAAATAGATTACTAAAGGTGAAATAAAGTCAAAATAATTGAATAAGGAGGGAACTAGACAGAGAACAGTTCATTCAAAACCACTGAAAGCAATGGGGCTTATGTTTTCTGTAGCCCTCAGCAGAGATGGGATGATAAAAGCAGATGATTCCTCCATATAATTGCCCTCTACTTTATGTGCCTCTATGTGCAACTACAGTCACTGCAATAGCTGAAAAATATTATTGTTAAGTTGTTTTTCAGTCATATGGGGTTTTCTTGGAAAAGATACTGGAGTGGTTTGCCATTTCCTTCTCCAGCTCATTTTTGTAGATGAGGAAACTGAGGCAAACAGGATTAAGTGACTTGCCCAGGGTCATATAGTTAGTAAGTGTCTGAGACCAAATTTGAACTCTGGAAGATTAGTCTTCCTGACTCCAGGCCCTGAACTCTATCCACTGAACCACCTACCTGCCCTGAAAAACGTGTAATGTAAAAAGTAAGGTATTAAGCTGGCAATCTGTTTTGAACTCATGTTGAAAAGTTTACTACTCTCATTAGTAATATTTGTGTGTAATAATTTGCTGCATAGGATTTTAATATTGTCATATTTGCAAGAGAAAATCTCTGTCAAAGAGATTCTTAAGTGGGATAACACACATGTTCTATGTATTTCTACTTATTTTTTGTTTTGTTTTGTTTTGTTTTGGTGGGGCAGTTGGGGATAAGTGATGTGCCCAGGGTCACACAGCTAGTTAAGTGTCAACTGGCTGGTCTGTGGCTGGAGTTGAACTCAGGTCCTCCTGATTCCAGGGCCAGTGCTCTATCCACTGCGCCACCTAGCTGCCCCTATGTATTTCTATTTTTAAAAGAAATTACTACATTTAATTTTTGTATTTTCTGTTAAGGTTGTCATGCTTTGGGATAGAGGATCTGATAAATAAGAAGTTTATTAACAAATCATAGACCAAGTCACATCTCTCATTAAAAAAAAAAATTTACAGTGTTCTTAAAGAAGTATTTTGTTTCTTACAGGACAGTTCTTTTCACTTTGACCTCTGTCGTTGTGCTTGTCATCACCACTGATTGGATCAGCTGGGACAAGTTGAATCGTGGATTTCTGCCCAGTGATGAAGTCTCTAGAGCCTTCTTGGCTTCCTTCATCCTAGTCTTTGATCTTCTTATTGTCATGCAGGTATACTGGGCTCTCTGGTCTTTCACTCTACTCACTAAAGCAATCATATTTTTATTTTTTCCAATGACATAGCCATAGATTTCATAAGATATCTTAAGTGTTTCATATACAATGGCTATTAGCAGAAGGATGAGGCAGTGTGACATAGCAAATAGAGATCCTACCTCAAAACCAAGAATTCCTGTTTCAAATCATGCCTTGACTGTATACTGGTTGTGTGAATATGGGCCAATCATCTAACCTCTCAATTCTCTAAGCAACGCTCTTAGACTACAAGAGTCTTGTAGTCTTGAAATCACAGATATAGTCCATATCCTTATTAACAGAGAACATTTTTGGCCATGTTTCTTGAAGTAGGTCAGGGGATTGAGATGGAAATCACTTGGTTTTGTCTTATAAGAATAGTGTCCACTAGTTTTTTTTTTTTTTAATTGCAAGGTAGGCATCTGGGGATTGGCTTTTTTGGAGGTTTTTTCCTACCAGGATTACAGTAGGGAAGGGGAAATCCCTCCATTTGCTAAAATGATACAGAGATGAAGGTGTTGTAAACTCACAAAGCAGAGAAAATCATTTGTGAAACATACTCAGTATTGCAAAAGTTATAATGGAAAAATACAAAAATGATTTTTCTGTTTATGAAAATGATTGCTTCCTTTTAGCATCCACTAAAGATCATTCTATTTTCATGTAAGCAATATTTCTCTCTTGCTTGATACCAGACTGTATAATAACATTTTACTAGCCAGCATAACCAATGTAGATAGAACAATTGTGGCTGCAAAACACTTAGGACTTGAAGAGTGCTGCTTTGAATTGGGCAAATAGAATAGGACCTGTGGGCATGGCAGTTGTCAGATTCTCCTTGGCATTTTATCTCATCTATAAAATGGCCAAATGCTTCCTGGATTTTTTCTTGATTATTTCACAAGTTATCAATGGTTTCTCCTCTCAAGTTAACATAAGCTAAAATAACAACAACAACAGCAGCAATAAAACAAGTTACCACTGCAGAAGGGAAGATTATTTCAGGAGTATGATTAATTTAGTTAGTTCACAGAATACCAAATATGATACCTCTTTTTTATCTGTAGGACAATAAGACTAAAAGTCACTGTTGCATTCTGGAGGGAATGATAGTTGACACATATTTGTTTAAAATCTGTATTTAGTGCCTTTGTGGTAAGCTGGCAGTGATTTATAAGCTGACTGCATTACGTTTGAACTGGTGATAATTCAAATTGTACCATAGTTACCAAATAGGACACAGATAACTTAAAAGTAGAATTTGGCTTTTATTTATTATTTCATTTTAAAAATATAGAATATTGTATCTGTTTATAGAATATTACATCTATTTATAGAATATCTGTTTGTTGAATTAGGCTTTTAATTGTTAAATCTGATGATTCCTCAGTTCTCATCCTTCTTAAACTTTCTATGGCATTTGACACTTGAGCAGCACCTCTTCTCTCCTACCTGATTTTTCTGATATGACTCCCTCCTTGTTCGGCTTCTACCTTCTTGGTAACTCCTTCTCAGTCTCCTTTGCTGGATTATCATCCATTTCCTATCCCTTAACTCTGTCCATGGCCTTCTTCCATTCTCTGTTTGCATACTCTCTCTTGGTCATCCCATCAGCTTTTATTGGTTTGTTAGTAATCTCTGTGCATATATCTACTCTCTCTCATGAATTCTAGTCCCACACCACCAAGTGCCCAAATATGCCTTTTCAGGCCATTTACAGTTTTCAGGCTGCTGGTTGCATACCAGAGGATTTCAGGTGGCTCAAGAAAAATGTAGAGAAAAACATTCTTTGTATGTAGAGGAAATCCTTTGATGTGTCACAAGTGGCCAACGGGCAAAAGCAGCCCACCGATTGCCGATTGTGCAGTTCTGCTTTTCACCTACATTTCTTAAGGTCTCCTCAACCTCAATCTATCCAAAATACACCTTATTATTTTTTCCCCAAAACCTGACTTTCTGTCAAGGTATTTCTGTCAAGGGCACCATGATCCTTCCAGGTATTCAGGTTCACAACTGTGGGGTACTCCTTACTTTTCTTGTCCCACAAATTCAATCAGTTACCAAGTCTTGTTGATCTACCTCCACAGCATCTCATCTCGGTCCCATTCTCTTCACTCTCATGGCTTCCTGCCTACTTCAAGTTTGAATCACTCCATCACCTTATCTATTGTGGTTGGCTCCTAATTAGCCTTATGTTTCTTTACACACAAATCAGTTCTTCACATAGCTTTTTTTCCTAATGTACAGGTTTGACTATGTCATTCTTCTGCTCAATAGACTCCAGTGCCCTTCTGTTAATTCAAAGATCAACTATAAAATACTCTTTTTAGCATTTAAACTCCTTCCCAACCTGCCCTTTCTTTCCTTTTTACTCTTCTTGTACTTAATGCATTTCTGTGATCCAACTATATACCTCCTGACTCAGACTTTTTCATTGCATCACTCTCATGCCTGGAATATTCTCCCTTCTCACCTCAATGCTTACTTTCCCTGGTTTCCCACATGATTCACCTCAAATCCTCCCTTCTGCATGAGTCCTTTCTGTTGCTGTTTCCTTACCTTTGTGATTACTTTGTACCTTTTCTGCATATATCTTGTATACATATAGTTTATTTACACGTCTCCACATTAGAATATGAGTTCCTCAATAATCTATTATTCAATGAAACAGAAAACTGAGGACCAGAATTATGCCATGGGGATAAAGATATTTACAGTAAGATCTGGGGTAAAGTTGTTCAATGTCGCCACTATTATTTGATATGGTACTAGTAATGTTAGCTCTAGCAATAAGAAAGGAAAAAGAAATGAAGGGAATTAATATAGGCAAAGAGGAAACAGAATGATCATTTTTGCCGATGATGTAATCCTTTATTTAGAAAACCCTATAGTGTCAACTAAAAATTAATTGAAATGATCACTTTAACAATGGTATGAGATATAAAATAAATCTACATAAATCATAAGCATTTCTGTATATTACTGCCAAATCTCAGCAGAACGTCTGAGATAGACTTTAAACTTAGGTCTTCCAGACTCCAAGTCTAACACCTGGGCCATTATCCATCACCTAGCTGTTTTTTGCCTTCCTCTTCCCAGAACATTCCGGGAACCAATTCCAATTACTTTCATATAGCCTCCCAAGTTTCTAATCAAAACATCTAGGATTATGGAATTATTATGCCTTACAAGGCAGTGTCACATAGGGAAGTTGGAGATGAAGTTGGATTGGGGAAATATGATGAATTCAGTTTGGGAAATGGAAATTGGCTAAGAAATCAGAACAGGAGATATAAACTGGAGTCATTTGCATTAAGGTAATATTTGAAATCATGAGAAATGATGGATGGTTGATGGAAGAAAACAGAAAGAAGAAAAATAGAGGTTTAATGATAAGATTGAAACTTAAGGAATATACAGTTAGGTGAAAGGAAGAGGAAGAGAAAGAAACTTTTGAAAGACACAGATCAGAAGCAAGTGGTTGGACATGTAAGAGACGAACCAGAGAAGTATTAGGTCACTGAAACTAAGAAGGGAAAAGAGTTAGGAAAAACCTTTACCAAGAACTATAGAATGAATGATTATTTTAGGTCATTTAATATAATATGATTTAGTAGTAATGAAAAACAGAAATGAATTCATGATTAAGTGGTGAAGGGACTTTGCTTTCGTTGAAAGACATTAAGAAAAAAGGTGGTGTTTTTGAAAAGTAATTTTTTTCTTTATGGTATTTTTTTCCAATTACATGTAAAGACAGTTTTCAACATTCATTTTTGTAAAATTTTGAGTTCCAAAATTTTCTCCTTCCCTACCTCTGCTCCCCTTGCCCTCCCCTTCTCCCCAAGACAGCAAGCAATCTGATATAGGTTATACATGTACAATCATGTTAAACATACAAAAAGCAATTCTTAAAGCATTATAAAATAATTATGACTGTCCATTATGGAAGTTTGTTTTGCTTGACTTTGTAATTTGTTCCAAAGATTTTGTTTTTCTTTACCCTCCTTCTTTGGGAAGGGGAAATTGAAATAAGAGAAAATAAATGCTTATCAATTGAAAATATTTTAAAAAGAAAGGTAACTATGAAATTGTCTCCTCCAAATATTTCACTATGAAGCAAATATGAAATTTGTGTTTTAATTTATTTTACATTGATTTCAACTGTAAAGTTCCTAGAATAAGAATCAAAGTTTATTGCAGCATGGTAGAGGGGAAAGACTGCTGGATTTGTAGCCAGAGTTGCTTATTACCTGTGTGTACTTTGGCAAGTCCTCTGTGTCTCAGTTCTGTCATTAGTAAAGTGAAGGGGATCTAAAGTTTAAGAACATCTATGTTGCTCTTTACAAATTAAAAAAAGAACCCAACAATTTAACGTGATTTAATGAGGCACTTATTTAGAGATCATAGCTGTTTAAAATAGTAACAATTTACAGTATAGAGCAAAGTTATATTACTATCAAATAATTAAAAGCCACTGCTTTTTGGCTAGTTGGGATTATACACAATGTGTGTATATATACGTTCATATACCCTATGTACACATCATGTATGCATATATACACACATGTATATATACACATATATGTAGTATAAATGGTTCGAAGTAGGAAAATAATGTCCGTGGCCAGCTGTAACACATCCTTGTACTCTTTGAGGGAGTAAATGGGAAATGAAATATTTTTCCAGATGTCCTGACAAAGATCTAATCCTTCCTTTTCTTACCAGTTTTTCATGGTCTTAAACAAATATTTGAACTGCTAGCTCAAAATATTGGGACAATGATATATCAGATTTCCAAAATGATGCAGTTATAAAAAAGGCTTTTGCTATTTCTCACCCTGTGGAAAGAGGAATGTCTACTGTGCTCTATGTTTAACATTCTGAATCTTAAGATCATTTATTTCCTCTATTTTATCACTTTATCACTGGTCTAATGGAGAACAGGAGGCGTTACCTAGGACAGATGTTTTGTGGTA